ACGGTACACCAAAATATGTAATCAATATAAGAACTTCCGACATTTTTAAAAGTAAGGTTGATATTAAAACATGATAATATTAGATAATATTAAGTTTCGTGCCGATGCGGTCTGCTAACACAGCTCCAGTTACACACAATACTACACTCAATCATATATGGCGATCCAACTTCCAGAAACTGAATACTACAATCATGGTTCATATTACATAATCTACGCAGTTCATTATAACTAATTAACTCTTCGATCTAATATTTGTATTAGAACTACTTTACATGTAATGTGTGTACAAAACATACTCGTATCTCTAAATAGTTTAAATCACTATCCGTGTCCATCAGTTTACAGAATTACTTCTTCTAATTTGTTTAATGATGAATATGGAATAGTTTACCTGCCCGGTACCGGTACGGTAGTTGCTGGCGGAGGAACAGAGAAGGATGATATATTGATCATGAAGTCAGGTCAGTTAACCTATAGTTGCGAAACCTTCAGAAATTAACCACGATGGTTTCTAGGGAGGACAGCGTGGAAGTAGACTTGTCATAGTAATGAAGGCACTAATCCTATTACTAATAATTTTATTCCCCAATTTTTCATTTCAATATTAGATACATGTACATGTACCTAATATAACCGCATTAATCTACATGTCAGGCTGATCTTATAAATTCCTAGTAAATTTGTCACCCTGGGCTAACTGACCTGACCTTATGTCATCTTATCATCCTCTACAAATGCCCTGCTAGCGTCAACCGATAGCGCACGAGGGGAACAACTCCATAATCATCCATTAAAAAAAATGTCACACACGTATATGTCAGCTTTGAATCTAATAGACAACATTGAATTAATATAAATATGTAGAACGCCAGTTCCAAGGACGGTTATATGATTGTACTAAAGTGAGGCACCGATTTACATAGCGTTAGTGACCGGAAGTCGAGTGCCGCATCATTGTACGTCGTGCGGTGCATGCGCGGATATTACCATTTACATATAACACCGTTTGAATTGAATAAACAACCTTATTCACATTGTAATAAGACTATAATAGCCTAATTGCAGTGAAGCTACAAAAAACTGCAAATTGCTTAATAATATTCAACAGTTTATGGCTGACATATTCATTTTATACAGTTCTCGTGGGGCCTATTATTGTAATGTAAGTCGCTATATAAAATTACATCGCTATAATGTCGAAATCATTAGAGATCATTAGTCAGTTGAATCTTCATTTATATAATAATAAAATTTGTCTATCGTTTGCTGCTAAACCAAACCACCTAACTTCCGATGGACGGTTAAAAAATTTATATTCATGAGTATTATTGGTCGGGGTGTATTCTAAATACAATGTACATATTTTAAAAAAATCTTCAAGAATTTCTCTAAGTAGTGTAGTGCCCATAAAACAACAAATAACAATAACCCTGGACAGCTCACATAACGCCATCCATATAGTCCCAAGCTAAGTCCCATATTAAAATTATAATTTTGAAAGTGTGTCTGTCTGTCTGTTTGGTACCTTTTCACGCCTAAATAGCTAAATCTCTTAATGTAATTCAACATGAAGAAAGATTCTATCCCGAGGACGAACATAGCATACCTACTATTTATAAAAGGGCAAGAAATATCTGTCATTGTTAACGATTAACAAATCTTTACATAGTATAAAATTAAGTCACTTCTGTTGTTATCTTAGATCTTTCAAACTACGCAACAAATTTTAAAGCAGTTTTTGGCATGCAATAGTCAGAATGATTCAAGAGTAAGGTTTATATGTATGATACATGTACACTTGTACGCAGTTAGCGGGTAGCTAGTTAAATATAAATTTGATAATTTGACTCATACAATATTTTCTAATAATACAACAAATAAATTTTAGGGAAGACACAAAAACGCTATGAAACGGTGGCGTTCACAATTTGGCACGTCGTCAGTCGCGGCGGCGGCGTCACATCCGGCCTGATGACCGCGCTGTTTGTTGCGCAAGCGCCGCCAATATGGGCATTGTATGCAAAACACTAGCGGGTTAACAGTCGCCGCCAAATACCAATACAACTGTAATAACGGTATTCGTATTATCCAACCCGTGGGAGCGGTTTGTTTTGCAATAATGCAAAATTTGTAGAAGGACATTTGATATTGTAATATCTTGTATAACAATCATCATTGCCTTGGCTTTATCCCATTATTTGGGATCGGCGCAAAGGGTCATTCCTTTCCATTGATCTCTATCGGCCGTCATATACGACACTAGCATAGTCTCCTTTTATTCATATCATCTTTTACACAATCCATCCATCTTATTCTTCTCCCTTTCCATCCATCCACGTTCATATTATATACACCTTACTTAAGACAAGATCCTTGTTCATGCACATAACATGCCCATACCAGCTCAATCTGTTACTCAATCTTGTAGAACAATAAATCTTTTTAAAATTTCTAATATTGACATGATTTATAGCGTGTAACGGAAAGTGCATAAAAAAGCCTAGAATCAGCAGTAATGTGATTTTTTTCGCACCATTTTTTGCGGATTTTTTTGCAAAATGTGATCCCGTTTGTATGGATATTGCAATGAAATTATCTTATATATAAAATTCTCGTGTCACAGTTTTCGTTCCCATACTCCTCCGAAACGGCTTGACCGATTCTCATGAAATTTTGTGAGCGTATTGAGTAGGTTTGAGAATCGGCCAACATCTATTTTTCATCCCCCTAAATGTTGGTTTATTTCAAGGCAAAACAACGTTTGCCGGGACAGCTAATATAATATATAACAATGAAATTACCAAATATGGAGGCACGTACCCTAAACCTAGAATAAGGAAGTTATGTAATTTAATAAATTTATATTTACCTAATGGGCAGTTATCTAAAGAGCAAGTATTCCTTTAGTACATTTATGGAATAGATCAAACTTTTAAAAATGTCGAGATGCTATAAAACACTTTTCACAGCCTCGATAGTGTAGCGGTTAGTTAGCACAGCGCCTTACTTCCGATGCTCGCAGATTCGATACTCGCACGATACAAATATTTGCGTCCATAAGTTGAATTGTTTTTATCGGTATTTATTTGTATCGGTTTGGAAGCTTTCTATGTACGAGTGTTACGTGTGTATTTCCAAAAAAAATATGCAAGTATTCCTATAGTACCCATAATCCAAGCTCTGCTAAGCTTTGGCGCTGTAGTAATAGTCCTGAGATATTATTATGATGAAAATTACATTCCATGATATCACACAAAAATACACTTAAGATATGTAGTAAAAATTGACGTGCGTTCATAAAAATAAATGCATATAATATTTTTACTGCAAACCTTTAGTATAATAGGGTTTAGTATTATATAGGTTTAGGCTTTAGTATTATATATAAGCTATAAAGAACGATGATAATAACAAAATTATAAATCAACATACATATACACTAACATTTGAAATAATTTATGAACAGCATTTTAAGAATGGAAATATTTTTTTAAGTTCCGTTTTTAAAAATCATAGATTTATAGATAAGCCGATTCTTATTTATGAGTCTACGTCGAAAATCTGACATGAATTCTGTGTCAACATTCAACTTATTCCCGAGATCCGGATATACAGAGTTAATAAGATTGAATCGGACAACACGGATGCAGCAGTAAAAACTAGACAAAAAGCTGAAATCACATGAGCGGTAACAAATGATGTTTACTCGGACCCAACCATACAAATACGCTAGCCCTTTGAAAGACACGTATGCCGCTTATCTATGAACCCGGAATATGAAAGGGACTGGAAGGGTTCATAGCACCTTTGTACATTTTCACTACTTCCTAAACTCCGCTTATATTCAGTAAACAACAAAAGGTGATGTTTTAATAACAATATTTGGTGAAGTAAACCCTAAATTAAGTCAACTTTAGAAACAATTTGCTGTAACCTATACTTAAAGTGAGAGCGTGGTGTCCTAGAGATTTGAAAGTGCATAATGTAAATTTTAATAAGACCTACTCCAAAGAATCTGTTACCTGATTAAATTTATTTCTTACTCTTTTAGTCATGAGACACCAAGAATTAATCTTATTGAAGGCGTCGGTGGTCTAGCGGTATAGCACACGTAGGAATCGAACCAGCAAACATTAGAAGTAAAGCTTCCGATAGTTGCGGATTTGATTCGTCGCTCGGTAATAATTTTGTATTCATGAATATGATTGTTTGTATTGGTCTGCGTATTTTCAATATGTTATATGACTATATTTACAAATATAAATGTATCTGAGTATATCTATCAGTTGTCTAGCTGACTAGATGGCGATGTGTGAATTGTCCGAGGATATTAAAAAAACATTACCGGGGAGATCGCGATTGCTTTGCCCCTTGTCACATTGAATTTACAATATACACAGAAAATATGGATATGTCAACTATTGCGTTCAGCGACATTACCAGTTTACAATGCCCTTTAATACTCCATCTACGGAATAGTCGTAAGGGTATATTATGTACTACTTATGAAATTTATAACATTTCTGAATTATTTCGAATGATTTGGTCTCATTCGAACTCGAGGAGCAGCTATGCTTGTGTGAAACTAATCCTGACCGTCACCGGACGTCCGTCTTTGTCGATATTTCTATTCTACATCAAAGGGCGCCTATTACTTGAAAATGCAAACAACTCTCAACCTTAAATGTATTAGTAGAGAACACAACAATCGCATTTGATAACAGTGACCATACAACTGCCCTAATATATCTTGTCAGTTGAAGAGAGGATTAAATTGCAGTGGACAGCACTACAATAGCGGATGCGGAAATAAGTCGTAGTATTACAAATCGTACTGCTTCAATTGTTAAATGAAAAACGCCCATATCATTTGCACAATTGAGCAATAATTATATTTACTTTGATACTGCATTCAATATTAATAATTCAAACCATAGCAATCATGTGTAAGCGTCGCACGTAACATATAAATAAGCTTACGAAGGCCGCGCTTATAATTACAATTTACTTGCTAAGACTCTGATTAATGATGTGACCGGAACGACCTTCACTGATCGTGATGAATATAACGAACAGCATTTACCTGAAACAAGCAGAAAACAACGTCAAAAGTTGAAGACTTATAAAAATAGATAATTATATTAAATTTGTCACATGTCCGAGACCGAGGGCGGTCAATCGCGCACACCGCCGCGCCGCTCCGTAGGCGTCGCCCACGTCCTATCCATTTCCGGCCGGGAGTTTGCACTGAGACAACTCTTCCCTTGAATTACTCGTGTTAATACTCTCTGATCCTATGCCGGCCGCTGTTTATTTTCGCACATCGTTCGCGACAGGTATATGCACTTTAAATTCCAACCGATTCACCGGTTGATCACTTATAAGAATCGTCGACCTTGGACGAGGTCTCACAGAGCGGACGTCGATGCTCGTAAAATAAAGACAGCTCTGGCAGTAGCGAAGACAAACATACAGATGTAGGCATATTATATATGTATGTGACGAGATGCTTGGCTCACCCGATTGACGGCCGATAGCACCTCAGAATGTCGGCATCCGGCATTCAAGGTGACACAACCCATCCTTGCAGAGCCAATATAAGAAAAGCATAAAAACATCATGTGAATTATGACTATTTAAAATAAATATTGGAATATTTTGAAAACGGCAAAAATTTCCTATCGTTTTTAATCAAATAGGTACATATGAGATGACATTGAGATGCTATACCTGTTACATCAAATAATTTATAAAACGTGTGTTCATGACACATAAATTCCGAGAAATATGACATAAAACAGCACTTATTGAGTACTTATGTCATTTTAAATCAACACTTATTGTTATTATCCATAGGTTTAACCGTTAAAAAATACAAAATATATAAACTTACTTTTATTTCTATGTTTATTTTCGAACACTATGATATACGCTGTACCCTCGTCCTATCACCTCTTGACAGAAAAGATGAATTTATAAAAGATATTGATGACATTTAAGAAGATTGTCACTGTGCTGTCGTTAAATTGAATTAGAGCATACTACCAGCATGCAGCGCCCGCGCAGTTCGACGACCGATCGCCCACCACATTCAGCATACTCATTGATTCAATTCAATCGATCCTTGATGAAAAATTCTGTAGTGGGAGTGACAACGTTCTTAGTAACAGGTCTTCAATTTTTTATCGATTGGCCTAGTTAAAAAGCTGTTTCATGTTATTAAATAATGAAACGGCTTTTTAATAGAATTAATTTTAAATAAATAGCGTAGGTAGTGTAATGCAGTGGAATCTTCAAGTAAAAATTTACGTAGGGTGGAGACATATGCATGTACACATACACGTAGGCGTGAGTACCAACAGACGAGGGCGGTATAGAACCTCTTAGCGACGTTATGTTGATTTAGAAGTTATGGTCTCTAGTTCAGTAAATGGATAAATTGTTTGGAGCAACCTTGCACAACAAGAAAAGACGGGAAGTCTGCAATCAACGCGCTTGACTGTTATGCAAAGGTAGAATACGAGTAACAGTTGTCGCGTTTACGTAAATAATGTCACGTTGGCATTTAGTGCACCATGTGTCAGTGGGTGAACTCCCGGTGAGACTAACCTGTAATTACATCAAGCCGACTTGAGCAAGCGATTGATAGACGGAAGTATTGACACCGACGCAACCACCTCCGTCAAATGAATCCATCATACTTATTCTTTGGAATTCAAATTAATAACTTTCTACACCATACTGCACCGAGTACTTAATCGGCTTATACTTTAATAATAATATATTCACATTTGTGACAGGCTTTTATTTATAATGCAGTTGATATGTTTGAACAATTTCGTAATGTTTCTAAACTTCTGTGGTCTCAAGAGAAGTTTCCGTTTGCGTGCGTTATTGCCTTTTTTTAACACTATTTGTTACTTCAGGGCGATATTGTTTAGTTGTATTTGTACAGACAGAAAAACTAAATTCTTTATTATCTGATTCCAGATATTTCTTGCAGCCCAAACTTACGCTTTAAATGTCGTAAAAATATATTATCAACACATTATACAATAAAATTCAACATTAGATACTCATTAATTGCTCTAGACGCACTGAATTCTTAGTAGGAGGTCAGATAAACGAACATATGCAGGAATATTACATACAAATATTATACGGGATAGAATTAAAACAAACCTGAAGATTCCCCCATTCGTTATGCACTTATGATTAGTGTCAAATATATTTTCTCCATGCATTTTAAATTAGACTCGAGCAAGCCTGGTTATATGTTACAACGCAACTGCGTTGGGTAATGAATTACTCACCGGGCTGAAGCCACAGTTCTTTAACAGTATGATAATGAAATCAGATGAGTAATGTGCTGGCGTCGAGCAAAATTTCCTTAAGGATGATATGTACTACACACTACTACATTTGTTACAACCTGAGACAACTTCAGCAGTTTTTAACTATTACACTAATAACTTAAATTGTAGTGATATACTAGGTTTTTGAATATCAATATTAGGAACATCTTCTGCTGTACCTGAATTACAACAGTCAATATATCTATCTAATAGTATCTTTCCCTGTTTACATGCTTGATATTCATGGAAATGTTTATATGTATTTTATGTTAGTCGAAAGTATACTTAGATCTATTTTAATATTTAGATTGATCCAGAAAAGGAAGTCCTGATATAAAATCGTCACAATTACCATAATGAATATGATACATAGTAATAATTCCATTTAAAGCAAATTTTAGAAACAATCTCTAACTTATATTAAATTAAGAGATTGAAGTGAATATGGATGATAAGATGACAATTTCTGAGGATCTTATAGAAAAACATGGAAATAATTAACAGCGAGATAATACGACAGCATTATTATGAGTAATGTAATTTAAAACTAACTAATTACAAAATACGATATTTAAAAAGGTGTTTAAAGTACTCGCTACAGACCTACAGGTACTTATAATGAAGCCTTGATTACTATTATTCAGGTATGTCAGGTAAATAAGCACAACTTTCAAGTTTTAACTATCTAGCAACTTGCTTCATAATCCAACTTGCATAGGAATATAAAATTGCAACTCGATGTAATGCTGGTATTAACTAGCATGGACCTTTTTAAAAATATAAAATTTATTTTTCCTTGTTTGTATTGTGTACTTTTATTCTGTTTTAAGGTACGTTATGTGTCTCTATTTACTAACAGTAACTTTAACTAATTCAATATTACCTATTGTAATTTAACAATGAAATTTAAATAAATGCATTCTAGAACTACGTATTTACCAAATGTCTACCCGGTTACAGTTTCTTAAAAGTAACTACAGAATGTTGACATGAGAAAACTGTTAATCAAAATTATTTTGTCTCTGTGAATGAAAATATAAATATAATTGTGAAAATAATAGCGGAGCGGAAATAGCAAAAAATATTAGTGATCATAAAAAACTGAGACGTGGTTCCGCAGCCATTAAAATAAGCAACCGTCATCGGGGGCCAGCATACGGGTGTGTAGGAAAAACTAATCCGTTGGCAAAATGTATGCGCACGTGCTGTGGGAATACTTTGGGGGACCATAATCAAGATTAGAAGATCTTCGCATTAATGAAATCGTATTAAGCTGTCAATCGATTTAATTAACAGTGTAAGTCATGCATAATTTTCTAAGTATGTATCTCATTAAACTAAAACAAGATATAGTTTTGGAAGTACAAAATATCGTCACGATGCAACAATAAAACATCTCACCTAATTATTCTCTGAGCAGCTTGCTTTACGGGTTGTGTTCCGGTATTAGGATATTCCAGTGAAATTACAAGATCCGAAAGCAAATTTAATCTATCAGATCCTGTAAGTTCTCTTAATAATAAATTTCAAGCAATTTTGTAAATTCTTAATTGACGTAATTTAATTTTTAAATAATTACTTAGCCTACAGGAGTACACAAGAATGTAACAACATATCACTGGCGTACCAATATATTTTTATGCCCATGGTGCTGCTTATATATCGACGACAGTTAACAGTTAAAAAAACTCCATATAATATAAAATAGGCAGTCACATAGTTCAAACAATAAGCTATTTGTTTTGGTTCCAATAAAATACGAATACCTATGCAGTATGCATGCATTATAACGAGCGCATACTTCAATCAAGAATTCGTCATCTTATTGCCAAAAGCACGTTACTGTATCGCATGATGCTTGCTGAAAGTGTGTTTATAGCATCCGTCTTCCTGCCATAGACCGACCAAAATACCGTTATGTTCGCATAACCAAACTCCACTGATTTACATACGCAAATCATGACGAATTGCCCACAATGCACGTCCGAAATATGCCATTGGTCCTACGATATCATACACAAGGTACTGTTATTATTTAAACCAGTCGTCTTTATTTATACCATAACCTAAAATTCAGTCAATTCAATTGACAGTAATCCATACTAATATATAAATCAGCATGGTTTCTTTATTGAACGCGCTAATGTTCGCTATTTGAAAAATTTTATGTTCATTTGATGACCCAATTATTTCCAGCAAAAATACAAAAATTATATAGAACGCTAAGGGAAGAAGCAATTGCGGGAGCGGATGACGTAATGCAATGCAGAGTCGGTGGACGAGGGTAACTACAATTTCTTCATTTAAATTAAACGGCAGGTGAAACTTTATATATCTCGCATAAAGTAACGTTTAATCTACTCATAATAATACTGGAACGTCACACAAAATTCAGTGTCGTCTCTTGTAGCTTATCCTATAGCGAACATGTTTCTATTCAGATAAAAAAGCCTCGTCGTCTGTTTATTATGGTCTATTCAAATGTCCGTCTATGAAACAAACTGCAAACAACATGCTTTGAACTAGTCTCGGATAGATGTCTGCGTACTATCTTTATTACCTTCTACTGTGAATAGAATATAAATTAGCAGATCATGTTGTACCGATATACGTGTTTTTGTTTTATAAATTCTAGTTGCGTGATCTAATTGAACAACTTATTAAAGACGCCTGCGGTACTTCTATCTCACTTTATTATGCAACTTGCTTTGCAGTATCTGTTCTGGTT